TTGGCAGGAAATTTGCAGGATGGATTAGTTTGGAGAACGTATCAAATAGAAATGTCCCACTAAACTTTTCGAATTAGGAAACTAGCTAATTCACTTGTTATTTTTCATTTTAGAAGATTTAGTTGTTTAAGACATGTACGAGAATGCAATTTTGTAACCAATTGTGTAATCCGCCACTGCGCTCCCACTATGCAAACTGTTCAAAAAAAATAAATTGATATGTTTGTGACGGACCGATAGTGGCTTTCACGTTAATTGGATTAAACAGTTTTTTTTTGTTTTAAAAAGAAAACATATGTCAAAAGTAAGACGGACATTGTTTTGATCAGAAAATAAATCGAATTCAATATTAACAATATCGAGTGGAGACTTTGACAATATATGTTGCCTATAAAAAACTACATGATTAAGAGCTGAATTTATTATATAATATCTCATGTAGGGGATTTGTTTCTTGACCATATATACGAGCCTGATATATGTTTTTTTGCAAGTGTGGTGAATGTTTACCAGTGAAATAATTACCTAGAAAAAAGACGCAGTTTATTACTGTCCACGCGAAAAACACGTGTGAAAGGTGTAAAGCGTGTCAATCGACACTTTCTTAACTTCGATAACAGAAATTGAAATTATATATTGCCAAATTGATCAAAAAGTCGCTAAATCGGAAAACTCTAATTAATGCTTTTTTCAAATCAGTTACGGTTCCTAAATTAAATGAAGAAGAAAAAGCATATTGTGATAAATTAATTACGGTAAAAGAGTGTTTCGAAGCTTTAAAAGAGAAGGGAAATAATAAAACCCCGGGGATAGACGGACTCAGTGAGGAATTTTATCTCTCTTTCTGGCAGGATTTAAGTGAAACGCTGGTGAACTGTTTGAATTTTAGCTTTCATCAAGGAACGTTAATAAGCACAAGTCAAAATCAAGTTTTTATAACTGTGCCGGCTCTTCGGATTGTTGAGGATTTGGGTCGGATGGCCCCGAGGACGGGATTAAATACAACTCACATTCTTCACGTTCTTTAATTCCGCCATGTTTACAACATACCCATATGACCGAGTGGGCCCGGGCACAACACAGGTAGCCCATAAACGACAAACAAGAATAGAAATAATTACAATAAGTAATGTCAACAATTAATCTATAGCGATAAAGTTCCGTCGTGATCATTCCCGCCCCTGTGCGCCACGCACATCAGTGAGTTTGTATTCAACAAAGCTTCACGGCGGGATGTTTGTATTGTCCAAACTTGGTCTTGACTTCTGCGCTTCGAACTTGACCATCTTTGCCTTTAAATGTCTCGACTATTCTTCCCAGTCTCCACTGTCCGCGAGGAAGATTTTCGTCTACTACAAGAACAACGTCGTCAGGTTTCAGTGTTCGGGAAGCAGGGGTCTGCCACTTCCGTCTTTCAGTCAGGTTGGGCACGTACTCTCGTAACCATCTCTTCCAGTAGTGGTCAGCTAGAATTTGAGCTTGTCTCCATCGTTTTCTAGCGCAAAGATCTGAGTCGTGAAAGGTTCCTGGTGGAATGTTAGGGCTACTTCGA